GAATAGGTTTCTTGAGTTTTATTCTAGACTTTTAAATCAGGATTTCCAGGAATAGAATAGAAATGATTCTTATGAAGTGAGCAGTGGTTTGTAGATTGACTTTGGGGACCAGGCAGATAATTTTTGTTTGTTTAACACCTCTGGCAATGGAGACTTTATAGTTTCCTCTCTTTTCAGTTGCAGTACAATATTTCATTCCTCTGACAACCAGTAAGTTCTGATAGGTTCAATTTACTTTTCAGCAATATGGGTGGATTTCTTGCTTTGAATTGCACCAGGCAAAGCACATGAATCAGATGTCCAAGATAAAGATACAGGATCCAGTGAGGTGGCATCTTGGTTTTCTAAATATAACTGAGCTCAAATTTAAAGCCTCAGAACCCGTCAGCCCTCCAAAAGCTTATTCCATCTTTGTTTAGTGAGTACTTTAAAGGTTGTTTAAAATAAGAGTTCAACATTTTTGCAGTGGATCTTTTGGATTTTTCATATTTCATGTATAGTCAATAAAGGTTAAACATGTGATTTAATTTCATATGTCTCTGATTTTCTGTGAAAATAAATCTATACATTGGAAAAAGTTCTTTATTAGACTACATGATATGATTTTGGGACCGGATATTGGGGTTAAGTTATTGAGCAAAATAGACTGAAGCTTCAGGATTATCCAGTGAGTTAATGACAGACTAGAAATAGAATCTTGTGCTATTTGCTTGGGTTATGATTTAGTTTGAAGAGGGTGGCCTGTGATCTGTTTACATAAATTGCAGGAAGTAAGGTTTGGGGTTTGGAAGAAGTTATAACTCTGTGATGTTTGGCCAAGAAGCTCCCCTCCTCTATATTCACCACCTGTTTTATCAACAGTAGTCCTAAAATATGGAGGGAAAAGAGGCAGTTCAGACTTAAACTTCCTACTCTTAAAACAGTCTTAAAAAGTTGAAGCTGATTGTTGATATGCATGCTTTTTTCATCTTCTTCTTAGTCTTTTCCTGTCCCTGATCTTGGTTTAGGTGGCTATCCTATAGCCTAAGTAGTTGATTTGTAGAAAGTAGTAGAGTGATTTCCTTTTAGGATTTTTTTTTTCAGGTGTATGAAACTTTTTAATGAGCCATACATGTATCTTCATTAAATATGTTTAATGAGTAAACAGTATGGTTTGAAAATAGTGGAGGTCACCAGAAAATAAACTTGACTGAATAGTTCAAGAGGTTATAGATTTGAAAATAATAGCTATTACTAGCGTTGTTTTCTGGTGAAGTCATTACTTTTACCCTCCCTTTCCTGTTCCAGCTTTGGGGGTTGGGGATGGATCCTGTGGCACTAGTGAAAGAAGCAGAAACGTGATAGAGTAAGAACATTTGTGTGTGATGGTTCGGAACTTGCTCTCTTTTTCCCTAACAACTTTGTTAAGATATGATTTGCATACCATACAATTCACCAATTTGAAGTGTAAAATTCATTGTTTCTTAATAAATTCAGAGGGTTGTGCAACCATTACTACAATCTAATTTTAGAACATTTCCCTCCTCCTCTAAAGGAAACTCCATACCCATAGCAGTCAGTCCCTGCCCCCCCCTTTTTTACCTCTTCTCCTCCCACTGCTAGCCCTTAGAAACTACTAATCTAATCTAATTGTTTATCTACAATCTAATTACTAATATAAATTTTCCTATTCTGAACGTTTGATGTAAATGGAATCATACAATATGTAGTCTTTTGTGACTGGTTTATTTCACTTAGCATGTTTTCAAGGGTTGTACATGTTGTAACACATATCATTACTTTTTATTGTTGAACAGTATTCTATTGTGTGGATATAACACATCCATTCATCAGTTGATGGATATTTGGATTATTTCTACTTTTTTGTGATTATGATTTAATGCTGCTATGAACATTCTTGTACAGATTTTTTCTGTGGATGTATATTTTCCTTTCTTGGGTATTACACCCTAGGAGTGGAATTGCTGGGTCATATGGTAACTATTATGTTTAACTATTATGTTTTTGATGGACTGCCAGACTGTTTCCCAAAGTAGCTGCATTATTTTACATTTCTGCTAGTAATGTATGAGAGTTTCAGTTTCTCCACATCTTTACGACACTTGTTGTTATCTTTTTGATTATAGCTCTCCTAGTGGGTGTGAAGTGGTATCTCATTTCGATTTGCATTTCCCTAGTGACTAATGATGCCAAACATTTTTTGTTTATTGCACATTCATATATCTTCTTTGTAGAAATGTCTGTTTAAATCCTTGCCCATTTTTTAATTAGGTTGTCTTTTGGTTATGAGTTATAAGAGTTCTTTATATATTCTGAATACCTACATTACACTTCTAACTGTGGACTGGTGCTAAATTGCTTGAGGTGGAGAGAAGTGATGGATACAAAATCTATATTAAGTAAAGATCTGGTGAGTTTTCAGTCAGATCTTATTTTAAGTTTCTTTTCTTTTTCCAGCTCTTAAAGAGCCTAGTTTATTCATTTATTGAATAAATATGACTGCTGGCTATATACCAGGTTTTGGAAATATAACAGGGAATGAAACATAAGAATTCCTGCTTTCATGAAGCTTACATTCTAGTGGGAGAGAAACAGGCAGTAAATAAAAATCATGTCAGATAGTGACAAGAGTTATAAAGGATAGAATGTGATGAAAGTTCTTACATATTCTTCACCTTTCCTGAATTCTTAATATATACCTCTTCGCCCTGACTTTATTGCACTTTCTACTTAATTTTACTTTATACAACTTTGGCTAAACTTTTATTTTTCTCTGACTCCTGATTTTTAACCCCTTTGCACTCTAATTTTTGTCCTCACTATTCCACAGAACCACCCTCTGTAGTATTAGTAATTATCTTCTATTAAAAGCCAATATTCTCTTTTCAGTTTATGTCCATTTTGATCTACAGTTAACACTGTTGTGTTTTCCCCCTTAAATCATGTGCTGCTATCTGTGGTACAGTTTTCTCAAGTTTCTTTTTTTTTTTAAACTAGTTTCTCTTTTCTTAATTATCTATTTGGACTCTCTGTAATACTCTGTGGTGAATTGAGGCTCCTCATGATTTTAATCGCTTTCTGAAAGCAGGTAACTTCTTAGTTCAAGCTGCACTGCTGCCTTCAGGGTTAGCTAGAGGAACTGGGATGAACAGCTGATTGCTACTCCACTCAGGAAGATTCTTTTCCCTTTACTACTTCCATTTCTTCAGTTCGGGCTGATTAAGACAAGGCTGTTTCCATGACTGCTTTAATAATTACCTGTGACTAATAGTATAACAATTCACACTGCTCAGGCAAGTAACCTGAATCAGAGAGGTTGTTCCTTCATGGATGTTAGTGAATTTTACACTTTCAGTTCTTTTTGAAAGATAGGGCTGAATTCAGAAGTTAAAAAAAAAGAAGAAGAAGGAATAGCCTCTTGATGTCTAAAGCTACAACATTTATTAACACATTTTTAATTCTTACCTTTATCTGGTGTTGTGTTATGCTTTCATTCAAGCTACTGTCATGGTACCTTTTTTTAATGAAGGAGGAAATTAAGCCTCAGAGAAGTTAATATATCCAAGGTCACACAGTAACCATCAGAGTTGGGATTCCAATCTAGGTCTGCAGACTCAAGGTCATGAATGTTGTCAGCATTCTATCTCTGTGTAGGTGGGAGAGGAAAGAGGACTGATGGGAATTACATGGGAGCTTTTTCAAAATACTTGGTCCCATTTCACCCTCCGCTCCCAGATAATGCATTATTATATATATGTTAGCTTGTTATAACAGCTGCTTCCTAAATAATTTGCAATAATAATTATAATAATTTGTGAATAATTTGTAACTGAGTTAATCTACACTTGAACACTGCTTATATTAAAATGAATTCCACCTTCTTCAGTTGGTAATGGAATATAATATAGTAAACAGCTTATATTGGAGCATTCTCATTAGTGAATGAGTGGCTTTTAGTAATACTACCCATATTCTGGTTGTATTATTCTACTCAGATTTTTCTGATGCATGTTGGTTTTCAAAGGATTTGGAGAAGATGCTGCTAGATGCTGTTGACAACAAATTAAACCATATAAATTATGGATGTAATTGAATGGTTAATATAATTGTTCAGTTATAGTTTGCACCACAGAGATGTGAGTTTGTAACTTGGCGGACACATTGAGATTTCCTGACTTCAGTGTGACCCTTTAGCCTTCTCTTGTGCGATTTGCATGTTGCTGTTCAGTTGCCTGGGTAGGGAGAAGATTGACATATGTTTGTTCTTTCAGTCAGTAAGCCTGGGGCTCAGGATATCATTTAGGAGCAGTTTAGATGAAAAATTGAGAAAACTGAAACTAAGGCATTGAGGCTAGCACTGATTAGAAAGATAACTAGGAGCTAAAATTGATAGTAAATGATAACTGATAGGGGTTCTGATAAGGATATTGATACTTGGCCACTCAATAATATGAGATCATTTTACCTTGTCTGAGGTCAGAACTGACTGAGAAAATAAGAACCAACATTTGAAGAAACAAGATAGTAACTTTTTAAAAATTGCCTTTTATTAAGATAAAATTCATATAGCATAAAGTTTACCATTTTAAAGTGTACAATTCAGTGGTTTTTAATATATTCACAAGGCTGTGCAACCATCACCACTATCAGAACATTTTCATCACTTCAAAAAGAAACCTCTTAGCAGTTACTCCCCATCTGCCATCTTTCCCTTTCCCCATCTCCTGCCAACAGCCAATCTACTTTCCATATCTATAGATTTTCCTCTTCTGGATGTTTTGTATAAATGAAATCATACAATATATGACGTTCTGTGTCTGACTTTTTCACTTAGTATAAAGCTTTCAAGGTTCATCCATGTTTTATAGCATGTAACAGTACTTCATTCCTTTTTATGGCTGAATAATACCATGTTATATAGCATATGGATATCTCATATATATAGCACATTTTGTTTTATCCACTCATCAGTTGATGGACATTTGGATTATTTCCACTTTTGGCTATTATGAATAATACTGCTGTGAACATTTGTGTGCAAGTTTTTGTAGGAACATATAAATTCTCTTGGAGATATGTATGCCTATAAGTAAAATTGCTGGTTTTTTTGGTGATAACTCTGTTTAATTTTTGAAGGAGTTGCCTTTGTTTTTGATAAAGCTGATATTGTAGAATGTGGCTTAGGTTTAAGAGCCAAATGAGTCGGCTCACTTCTCACAGCCCCTCATCCCTACCTGCCATGGGATAGTTCATAGTAGATGATGTTTGGATTAGCATTGCAGACACATTCAGATCATTGCCTTATAGAATCCTGGGTGGAGATAGAAGAAAAAAAGACTAAATCCCTGGTGCCAAGTCTTTTGTTAAGTTAGCCTTACCCATTAACCAAGTTAACTCTTTGGAGAGGCTAAGTAGGCTAAGAGGCCAGGAGTGTTTGGAGAAGTCATTATAGACCAAGGGTTGGAAAGAAGTATTCTGCTCTAACAAAAGGTAAGAGTTAAGCTAGAAACCTGAAAGCCATTTTTAGATGAAAAGGCTGTACCATTTCATCAAGATAGGATATATATTAAGGAAAGATGATGAATTCAGTTTTACACATGGCAAATTTGGGATTTCTAGGAGGAATGTTTGTTTGGAGATCAGGAGATTGGTCCCTGCTAGAGATGAAGATTTGAGATTCACCTGCTTGCAGGCAATTGAAGGACCAGGTAAATCATCTGTAAAATAAAAAAGTAGAGAAAGATGTCTAGTGATCCTATGTCTGAACTCCATGGTTTTGAGTATGCTAACTGATGTTTATGCTGTATCTTGCTATGGGTGGCTTATTTCCTTCTGGGTTTTGTGATTTTTAAAATTGAGAATTCATTTATTTTGGAAACTTACCTGTGGGAATTTTTCCAGATCTAGATCAAAGGTAAGTTCCCCTGGAAGGCATTTGCATTTGCCTATGTCAAGATTGGATGGGGGACACTACCATCCTAGGGTTACTCTAAAAAAAATTCTAGGCCTAAAGCTTTTAAAATCATAATCTAGGGGAGGGTCAGGTTGTGGTTGTGAAATATCAGGGGAGACAGTGCTGCCATATCCCTCCATCTCCTCACCAGCACTCAGTGCCCAGGTTAAAAAGCAGTTTTCCTGGCAGTTCTCTTGGTTAAGACCTGAACTTTGCCTCTTGGGTCTCAAGAGATCTTAGAATTGCAAGCTAAGTTCATAGGATTTGGCAAAATGCCGTGAAAATGAAGGAAAGCTGATTATAGTTTAGCATACCTCTCTAGTTTCCCTCTTTCACTTAGTTTTTGGCCTCTGATCATACCTGATTTTCTGTTAGGTTTTTTATTTATTTGCAAAGATTTTAAAACATTTTACTCAGCATTTTAGTTATTTTCAGCGTATACAGTGATCAAGCCATCCATCTTGTTATTGTGGCAGAAATAGAAGTATCTGTCTCTTTTTTCAGTGTATTGTAGGCAGGGACAGTTAGATGCAGGGACTTTAGTCAGCCTCTAAATCAAAGGTTATAAACTTAGAGCAAAATCCAGTGTTTTGTTTAGCTCACATAGTATTTAAAAAATAAAAAGAGATTTCAAATAAGATTTTGGAGTTTTTGTTTCTCTTGAAAAATTGGAAGTTCTTAAAATACTGGGCCTACAATACTCCTGCCTAGCAACAGTCGGCTAGAACTGGGAATAGTCCTGATCCCTTTAGGCTAAACATGCTTTCTTTAGTTGCTCACAGTTTCTACCACTTGTGCAATGTATGCGTATGTATACACTTATACCTATTTTAACTTACTTATTTTACCCCTAGGCATTTGTGGATCATCCTGTGCCTAATGAAAATATTGGCACCCTCCCGTGTGCCAGGTGGTAGTGCTAATAGATGCTTTCATATTTGTTGGTTTATTTATTTGATTCTAACAACAAACCTGCAGTTTATCTTTGCTGAATAAATAAAGTTATATAGGTGGTATTATTCCCAAGTTACAGATGAAGAAACTGAGGTTCAGTGAGATCATATAAATTCTTCAAGGTCTCAGTGGTGTCACAATTAGTATTTGAACCTAAAACCTAGAATTTGAATTCAAAGCTCCTGCTGTTTCATTGCTACTCTTAATTTTTTTTTAAAGTTAAGAACTGTTTCTTTACATGAAGTCTTAGTGAAGTCCAGTATGTAAAACCAATAAAGGTAGCACTGCTTTGATTGAAGAGTAAATTGGTGGTGGTGGGGGGAATTATGTGGGAGTGGGAACCTGCGTGTTCAACTCTGTGATAGCTTTTAGGCACCTCTCTGGAATACTTAGGACTCTACTAAACAGTTTGGACACATTCTGTAACCATAGCTAACCATTTGTTAAATTTTAGAAGTCTCAGTTTCTTGGGATGTTATTATAGTGTACCTATTTCTCTTATGCTTCCTGATAAGTGTGTCTTCCTCAGTATAATCCCTCTTATCACTCAGTAGCATTTTTCATTCATGTGGGTTTGTGTTCTGCAATGGTGATTCTTTTAGCATTCTATTTCTGTTTTTAGAGTGTTTTAATTAGAACTGCAGTGGGATTTATAGTTTAATTTACTTTGGAGCATCTGATAACTAACTCTTTTTACTTTTCAGATTCTCTTTGTGGCCAGATGGGTTTGTATGGACAGGCTTGTCCATCTGTAACTTCATTAAGGTGAGTGCTCTGTGTTTTTCTTTATTGAAACTTGTAACATTTTAAAAGTTAGGCTGGTCAAGTCATTTTACAGTGAATTTCAAAGTGAGGTTGAGAATAAAATACTGTAGCTTGTTTTGTTAAGTAGTGCAATTTGGTGGAGTGGAGTGTTATTTTTGCTTATGGAGATTTTTGTGGTAATGGGATCCAGAGATCTACTCTTAATCTCCATTTAGTGAACTAAGTGAATATAGTGAGGTGATAATTTGTACATGAAAAACATCATTTAAACTTTGTTCTTTTTTTATCTGCTTTTTTGTTTTAATTGGAAAATAGTAAATTTTGATTGCCTTTGTAGCAGATTATTAAATAAGACTAAAGATAACAGTTTAATTTCTTTCTAGAGGATGGTATAAACATAATATCTAGATTATTCTCATTTACAATAGATAAAATGAGTGAAATGTAAAAAATAGGAACTGCGTTGTGTACAACCCAGTGGTTTCAGATTTTTGAAGTCACCAAATCCATTTTACAAATCAAATCTTCTGTGAAGTCAAATAAATGAAGCAGATGAATGTGGGACTTTGTGCTTGCTTAGGCTTCTACCCTCAACATTGGCCCCTGAGGGATTGTTGTGGTTCCCAGAGTGCAGGTTGAAAAATAACCTAAACCTAATCTGTTAATTGAAATCTTTCATATTAGAATATGTTGATGGCAGGACCTCCTAGTTACTTGTGGAGTTGTAGTCAACTGTATCATTTATTCATTCAGCATATTGAGCACCTAAACTGTTGTCAGATGCTATTCTAAATGCTAGGGTTATAGCACTGAATGTAACAGGTAAAAATCCTATAATCATGGAGTTTGCATTCTGGTGGAGGGACAATTAATAAACAAGATAAGTAGAAGTATGTGTTAGATAGTGACAGTGATAGGGCTAAGGATAAAAATAAAATAGAGAAAGGGAATGGGAAATATAAGGTATGTGTTACTTTAGACAGGCTAGCCAGATAAAGCTTCACTGAAAAGATGACATTTGAATGAAGTCCTGAAAGAGTGATGGAATGAACCATATCATATATTGGGTATGTGGAAGTTGAGCATTCTAGGCAGAGAGAAAACAGGAAGTGCTAAGGCAGGAGGCCACCTTGTACTTTTGAGGAACAAGGAGGAGGTCACTGTGGCTAGAGCAGTGTAAATGATGAATAGAGTCATAATTGCCCAGCTTTGGAGGGCAGAAGGAGGGAGGGAGGGATACAGAATTGCTAGAGCCATGAACCTGAAGTCAAGGAATCCTTAAGTTTGAGAGAAATTCTAGTTGTCTGGAATGCCGCAAATGAACAATGAAGTTACCTTTTTAGTTTTTGTGTACTTGAATTCTCACAGGTCAATGCTGGCTGTCTTCTTCTTCAGTCAAAAAGCTTTGCTCTATGCCGTCATGACATATCTTTCCATGAGAGCACATCATCTTATAATAGAAGTAGATGGAGAGATTGATTTTCTACTTTGCTAAAGTCTACCCCTACCCACAAACAAGGGGATACCTGTATAGGTCTGGAAAGAACTTCTCTTTTTTAAAGACAGTCATTATTTCTTTAATCTCCAAACTTGCTCTAGAACGAATTTGACTTAATAGTGATTTCTGATTAGTATGATGGGAGGAGTCATTTTACCCTCTTTTTGAGTATTTAAAACTTTGGGTGTGGTCATGTCAGGATATTTTGCAGACTTTGATCTTTCCACTGATTAGACTTAAAGGTATTTTAGTTGTGGGATATGCTGAAACAATCATATATTAAGGTAGTTGAAATTTTAAATCCCTTTATTTGAACACTTTATTTATGTTTAGGTTAAGCCTGTATATGACATTGGTTTAGAAATAATATATGCCTAACTCTTTTGCTTGATAAAATTATAGAACTGATGATGAAAGAGAAGAGGTACCATGAATTATTTTTATTTTTATTTTTTATGTTTGAGCAGAGTCTCACTCTGTTGCCTGGGCTAGAGTGCTGTGGTGTCAGCCTAGCTCACAGCGACCTCAAACTTCTGGGCTCAGGCAGTCCTTCTGCCTCAGCCTGCTGAGTAGCTGGGACTACAGGCATGTGCTACCATACCTGACTAATTTTTTTCTATATATTTTTAGTTGTCTGGCTAATTTCTTTCTATTTTTTTAGTAGAGATGGGGTCTCACTCTTGCTCAGGCTGGTCTCGAACTCTTGACCTAGAGCAATCTTTCTGCCTCAGCCTTCCAGACTGCTAGGATTATAGGTGTGAGCCACCACACCTGGCCACCATGAATTATATAATTTACTCGCTGTGTATAATTCCCTGTGCACAGTATTCTCAAATCAGAATTTATTGTGGATATAGCTACAAATCTAGCATTTAATTCATAAACTAAGAGGCCCTATGGCATCTGAGTCATGATATTTATTCCTCTACAAACAAGGGACACCTTATTTATGTCTTTTATTTGTATAATATTCTCTGTGGCCCATCTCTGAAGCAGAGAATTCCTATTCTTAGTTGTATGTGTAGAAGGCCATAGTCTGTCACTGATTTTTCTAATTGGAAGCCAGTATTGGTTTGAGACAAGGAAGGTAAGAAAAGAATGACTTTTTGGGGAGAGGGGGAGAGATTAAAACTGGATTACTTAAAACGAAAGTAAAGATTAGTTTACTTTCCCCATAGGGTCTTCCCTAAACCAGAAATGGCCCCCTCCCATCTATTACTACTAGATATGAATAGAGCCAGAACTCTTAAAGTAACTTAAATCCACTGACAAACACTGCTTGTTTGTTCTACCTCTCTTGTATATGCTGCCTTGTATATACTTGTATATACTACTTGTATGTCTGGAAAGTGGCTAGCTTCAAGACAGGAACCATATGAGTTAGTGGAGAAGAACTGGACATATGGATGGGAAAGAGAAAATAGGTAAGCAGGTGGGAATTTGTAGGCACAGGTATGAGTGGGAGTAGACAATTTACATGCTAAGTAAAGGTAGAGAGTAGAGTGAAAGTATGCGAAGTATTTAAAATTTGTTGAGTGGGAGAGGGTAGTTAGTAAATGAATTAAAACTGTATCCCTCCAATTCCCTTAAATATTTAGGGCAAACAAGTATTGTTTTCTGTGGCTGATATTGGGTTCTTGTTTAATCTGAACATGTTAGGATTGTTTTTAAAATTATACCTACTGTATTTTTATGATTAAAAGGTAATACATATTTATTATAGAAAATTTGGAAAGACAGCCTTTGTTATAACTTCATAGCACATACTTTAATACCAATATATATTATATGTGAATTAGAAAAAGGACATTTTCCTTAAAAGAATGATTTCAAAAGATTTTGTAGTGATAGCTGAGTATACTCTTTAATTTTAACCAAACTGTTTTTACTGACACTTTGTTCTTCTTTACTTCCTAGGATAGGTAGAATTGCATTTTAACAAAAGTTACTATAACAACATCGTAATCTATATAATGAGACCATTTTCTTTTATCAGTCAGGGTTCTTTCAGGAGAAATCATACCAGTTATTTGAGCAGAGATAGTACTTTAGTAGAGAGAATTGTTAACTAGATATGAAGTTTACTAGGTAACAGAAAGGATAAAAGTAAAACTTTGAGGTGTCATGGTGGTGTAGACACAACAGGAAGCAGCTACTACGCATAGGGCTCAGGAACCAGAAGGAACAGGGGAAAAACTTAGAAACTTAAGAGGAACGGCCCTATATATGAAACTTAGACCTCTGAGGAGAAGCTGCTGCATGGCTGTTATCTGAGCTTGGAAGAGGGTTCAATCTATGAGGTTGGAACCCGGACTTCTCAGGAGGGGTTACTGGTTGTTGCTAGTATCTCTGAGTGGGATATGATGAAGCTGATTCTGCAAGTGTTGGAAACACTAGAATCACTTGCTACTATGGGAAGGACTTGCGACTGTAGGGGTGAAGAAGCCTTTCCTGGGGACATGCTGGTAGAAGGCCAAAGAATCGATAGGAAGATAGATACTGGTGGTGTTTTCTTCCTTCAGCATTGTGGTCAGTCCATCTTTAGTGCCCCCTCTTGGCAGAGCTTTACAGAAAGCCAGCTTGCAAAACAGGAATGTGGTTTTGCAGAGTCCTAGCTCCAGCATCATAATGCAGAATAGGTGTGGGAATGCTGCAGTTTGGAGCTGAGGGGCAATAATTTAATAACAGATACACTGGTTCCAGCAGACTGCTGAGAAATATGGTATATAAAAATATGTTTTCTAAGATCTGTATTTTGCAGCCAGTGTTTATGTGATTGTAGTAGAGTACCTGCATATTGCTTAAAAAAACTCAATAAGTTTTGTAAACAATGTGAAATTATATTAAAAATGTATATTAAGAGTCACAAGTATTCTTTGCAGTCTGAATCTAATACATTCATATCCTGAGTTTAGTAAGAGTCTGGATAGTGAGGGATACCAGGCCATCCAAATCTGTTCAATTCCTGAGTTTTGGATAGCAAGAGTAAGAGTTGAAATAGTGATGGCTACAGTTTTCTGTCAAACAATAGAATCTTAAAAATTTAGCAGAATCTGTTTGATTCCTAAGTTTGGATAAAATGGATTTGAATCCTGAGGTGTACCCATATTTTATTTCCAAGTACAGATTCAGTAAGAGCAAAAGCTTACTGAAAAAGCAAAAACTTCCCTTGAGTATATGCTTTATGTAGACAAGTAAATACATATATATCGTATGACATACTTCTTTTACATATTATAGCAATAGCCTTTTTGTAATTTGGTTTGGTGGAAGCAAAATAAATTTGATATTTCTTTGGGCTTGTTCAAATGGGACCTTTTCTGCATTTTTAAATTATCTGACATTTATTAAAGGATTGATTTTTAGGATTCACATATGTATGTAGCCTGGGACGCTGGGTTACAATAGCACTTGAAGTAGTTTCTGATGATAATACCACTTTCTACCTGAGATTGCTTCCTCTGACCTCTGATCTTTTTCAGTATTTATCCCATTTTCTCAC